GGGGGGGGGGGGAGCAAATGGTTTCACACGCTCACGGAGAGGACAAAGGGTCAAGGCTGCCCAGAGGCGTGCCTTGGGAAAAGCTCTACTTCCGAGAAGTCATGGGCCACTGACAGCCCTGTGGGGCCCAGTTCTGACACTGGTCTCCCCACACATTGGAATAGACTGGGGAGCAAGCGGTGAGCCTAGGATCCGATGGCGTAAGCACTTGGGAGGAGCCTGCCGCACAGGGCTGTGGACCTGAGGCCTGTGGAGGGAGCCCTCGGCCACCCTCATTCAGTGAGAGTCCCTGACGAGGATGATACAGCGCTTCGCACCAGTTTCTGTATTTCAAAGAGCTTAACCCCATCCCAGAGTGTTTAACGGAAAGAGCCCGCATCTGGGCATTTGACAGGACACGATCAGCCCCGCGTGGTCGCAGGAGTCCGTCTAAGGGAACGAGGAGGGCGGCATTGGCCTGCGGTTCAGAAGGGCTGGGGAAGCGGGAGGGGTGGGATCAGCGAGGGGCGGTGCATGGCCAGCGCTGCGTTCAGTGACATGAAGAGCAAATGGGTGGGAACTGCTGAAGGGAAAACTGATCTGCTCTGTACACTTTCATCCGGTTCACAGTAAAGAGTTTCAGAATAACAGTAACGACCCGGGCAAACAAATGCATTATTACGTAACACGCCCAGTTTATCTTAATAGGAAGCACAATTCTGAGGCTGGCCCGAAGAAGAGAAAAAATAGTAAACATGACACCCCCACCCCCTGCCCACGAGAGAAAGCCTGGAGACCCTGCCCCGCACAGTGTATGTTCTCTCAAGGTCAGTGTCCTTTCCCTTGAGTTCTCAAGGAGGGGGAACAGGTGTGCATGTGTGTGTGTGTGTGTGTGTCCTCCCTTGGCTCCAGGTCAGGACCAGCTTCTTTAGAGAGTACAGCCCAGGACGGGCTCTCTCACCCGTCCCAGATACCAGTCCTTCCACTTCCTGTCTCCAACTCAACAGCCTTGGCCGCTCTTCTGCCCGGAAGCAGATTCCTTTCTTGGCTCCAAACGTTCAGAGTGGGGGTGGAGGTGAGGGGCTGGCACAGCTTCCTGGAGTCCCATTCCACAAGTGGGGCATGCAGCTGCTACTCACCTCCCAGTGACATACACCCGTCATGTCCCTTGGGGCCTGGGCATAGGCAGGGCCTGTGTGCGCACCTGCAGCGGGCAGGGAGGCACCTGGGGAATAGCCCACTGGAAGCTGGGCTTCAGGAGGGAACACACTTCCCCCCTCTCATAGTTTCCCAACTAGAGATGCTTTGTGCCCCAGGCATTCCCAGAGCTGGGAGTGGGTAGGTGGGCGTGGAGAACAGCAGGGCTGTTCAGGTGCTGTTCAGCTCCAGGCTGCCAGACTGGTGGCCCGGCAAGTTCCAGCAAGCCCTGGGCCGCACACATGCACGCATGCACCTGGGAGGCACTCATGGGGGCCCAGGACCAGACATCATGCATTCTCTGGGAGGGTCTGTGCCAGAGCTTTCTTGCAGCTGGGCTGAAATTGCCTGGTGAGGAGGACTAGGTCTTGGGCCTCCACTGAGGAGCCTTGAGTTGGTGGAGAGTCTTTGTGACAAACTGATTTTTCTCTCTTCCCAGTTTATGGGCCTGGGAAAGCAGACCTCTGCTTCCATTTCCACCCTCCTGTCTGCCTCTGTCACCAGGTGCTGCTACCTTGGCCCTCTCCCAGCTCTTCTTTGTCGCCCCAGGGCCTTTGCACACACTGTTTTCTCTGCTTGCTGCGCACTTCCCATTCCCTCTGAGCTATTGTGACAATATTTACACATTTCGTGGCAGCTCAAATGTCCCTTTGTCAGGAGAGTCTTCCCTGCTGCCCTTAGCCTGAACTCACGTCTCTCCAGCAGTTAGCACAGGTATCATTAGAGACCTATTTGTCTGATTATACATCTGATGTCTGCTTCCCTCCCCACCCCCAGCTACAGACTCTACACAGGCTGTCTTGCTCACATGGGTGCCCCCAGCCCCTAGGGCAGTGGCTGGTACACTAAGCAGGAGGTCATTAGATATCTGTTAAAAGAAGAAATGAATGAGTGAGAGAGTGAATGAACGACGGAACCTTCCCCGTCTCTCTTCAAGGGGGTCCCACTCTTCACCCATGAGGAGACCCCTTGCCTTGGGTCTGACCTCCATCACCTAGCCTCCCAATCCAGCCTTACACCTCCTACCCCCAGCCTGGATAATCTTTAATAGATGAAAGTCTCTCCATCCAAAGAATAAAGTCCATTCCCTTAGCAAGGCTTCTGAAGCTGTTGGGGAGTGGAGACCTTTTTCCCTTGCCAACCTCACCTCCTACCTTCCCTGCTTGTGCCACCCCATCACGCAGCCTCTTCTCCAGCCAGGGCAAACAGCTAGCAGTTCTCCGGATTGGCTGGACCTAGGTGCTCACAGCTTGTGGCTTTTCATGAATGCTGCACCTCCACCTGGCTGGCTCTCTCCACCTTCTTTTCTGCACCCCTGGACGCATGTGGCCCTTACTAGAGTCACAGCACCCATCAGTGGCTGCTGCCTGCCAGACTCGGAGCACCCTGAAGGGCAGTGTTCAGCTCTGAACTGCCAGCCCTGACTAAGAGCTGGTGCTCAATAAATAGGTGCTGAATGAATCAGTGACTCAGAGGGTCTCCTGCCTCATGGCCCCTCATTCATAGGCTCAGTTGGAGAAGCCCCCCTCTTCCGGTTCAGATGCCCTGGGTCATACCCCATCCCCAGAACTCACGGAGATCACTGCTGCTGCTCCCCTTCTTATCCCCAGAGCCCCCCAGGAGTCCTCGGGGGGCCCGCTGCCCAGCCAGCTGCTCCACCATGGCCCGGTGAGTGAAGAGCATGCTCTGGAGGAGCTGAGGAAGGAGGGACATCGGTGTGAGGGTGGGATCGCTCTCCCTGGCCCTCGCATTGGTGCAGAGTGGGCGGCCCAGTGGAATGAATACTTCCACATAGGTGGTCAAATCATTGGTGCCCATATGTTACCCAAGCTCTCGGATGGCCTGGACCCTCAGCCCCCGGAACCCTCAGCCCTTCCCTCTGGTCCCCCCTGAAGGAGTGATGACCACACAGAAGGCACCGTCCTTTCTCATGGGTGGGGGCTGCACCATGCAGATGGTTCCAGATTGCAACCATCGCGTCTGCTCCTGAGCCCGCAGGGACTTGGGTGCAGAGGGAGAGGAACATCGGGGCGAGGCTGGTGGCCCCTGAGGCTGAGGGAAGGGCTGTAGCTTCCTGGAAGGTGTGTGTGTGTGTGTGTGTGTGTGTGTGTGTGTGTGTGTGTGTGTAGGTCTGAGGATAGGTGGTGGTCTTCATCCCTACCTCACTCTGTACACCCATGGGCACCAAGGCTGGCCGGCACAGTGCAGGGGCTCCCATCAGCAAGTGGGGTGCTGGCGGAGCCCGCACCTCCCACAGAGGGTAGCTGACCACGATGAGTTTGCTGAAGTTGAACTTGTACGTGAACCTCTTGCCTTTGGTCTTGTGCAGGATCCTCTTGTTATAGTAATACCTGGGTGGGGAATCCGAGGTAGAGTGTTGGCCCAGTGGTCGGGAGGGAGCTTGAGACCTAGCAAACCCCACTGCCCCAGGCCAGCAAGGCAAAGAACCAGGTGCCTCCCCACACCTGGGAGCATCTCCCCCAGCACTGGAGGGATGTGAACTGGAAGGGTGGGAGGATTTACCACCTCAGGCTTCCCACGCTGCCCCTCTTTGGCCACTGCGCACCCAACTCCTCTCACCTGAGGGCCCGGCTCAGCTTGTCATAGTTCATCTGTGGTTTGCACTTCCTGCGGCCCCAGAGGCGGGCCACCTCGTCTGGGTCCTTGATGACAAACTCCCCGTACTCTCCCTGCTGCCAGGCGATGACATGGCGGAACTCTTCCTTCTGGAGCAGCTCCAGGATGAAGTGCCACAGCTGGATCTGCCGGGAGCCTGGGGACGACTCGGCTTTGTAGGCCCAGTCGGGGAAGGCCAGGCCTGGAGTGGAGAGGGGAGTGTGGGATGCCAAGGCTCTGCTCTGAAACCCCAACCCCAGAGTGGCACACTAACCCACCCACAAGATCATGGAGGGAAACCTGGGGAAAGGGCTCACCTGAGATCCAGTAGTTGCTGGGGATAGGAGGGACCCCCTCGGCCAAGCAGCTGCAGTGCATGGTCCACTCGGAGGCCAAGAGGGCTAGATCTGGACTGGGGACAAAATGACAACCACTTAGGAGGAAAGGGGATCAGGGAGGCGGAGGAGCGACAGAAAAGGCAGGAGGGAGGGAAGGGAGTTCGAAGGAGGGAATAGGAAGGCTGAGACAAGGTCAGGAAGGAGAGAAAAGAGGGAAACGATAAGCCAAAGGGAGACAAGGCAGGAGAGAGAGGTCTCTGTCAAGAAGCCTTCTGAGCCCTGAGCCAGCCCCAGACCCTCCAAGGCCCTGCTCACTGACGCAGGACACCTGGCTTGGGGCTGAACCACTTATATAGATGGAGAGAGAGGAAGGCACAGGGTCTTGTAGCCTGCCCCCGCTGGGCGATTTACACAGAGAATGAGATCTCTTCTCGGGGCTTAACAGGATTGGAGTTTTCCCCAAGAGAAGATAACAGAATATGCAATTAATCGCGGGCTCTTTGTAAACCTTGAGTGGAGAAGAGGTGGTGTATCCCAGCAGACCCCAGGTGATCAATGAGACCCATACCTTTAAGAATTCATAGGGATGTCGAAACAGGAATCAAGGGTTCTTGCTTTAGCACAAGGAGAGGTGCCCTGGTGGTGGTGTTAAGTGCAAGGTCAGTGGTTCAAACCCACCAGCCTCTCTGCGGGAGAAAGATGAGGTTATCTGCTCCCACGCTATGCAGGGTCTCCAAGAGTCGGGATGGAGTTGATGGCGATGGATTTGGAGGTTAGTGCATAAAAAGGGCTCAAAGCCTGTTCAGTGATTGAAGAATAGCTAGCAGCCTGACTGGGTTTCTATCGGGCACCTCAAGCCAACAGGGGAATGGAGCAGAGGACTTCCGGCTCTGGGTTTCCATCTTCTAGGAGGGGAGTCCTGTTCTCAACTGGAACTTATTAGGCACAGAATTGAGCAGCATATCCGGAGTAGCTGCACACCTTACAGATGAAGCTCAGAGAGGGACACTTGACCAAAGACACTTATGTGTTAGCCACCTCGAAGTCCAGAGCCGTCCTTCCCAACTCTCAACTCAAAGCATTTTCTCATGAACAGTGTGGCCTTAAGGCAACGCTTCTCAAACTCGCCTGTGTGTAAGGACCAACTGAGACTCTCTCTAACATGCAAGAGTCTGATTCAGTAGGTCTTGATGTTGTCCCTGGAGAAGGCAGGGCAGCAGGAAGGAGGCAGGGCTTCAATGAGCTGGGTGGACACAGTGGCTGTAGCCGTGGGCCCCGCCTTCACAGTGAGTGTGAGGATGGTGCGGGACCTGGCAGTGTTTCGTTCTGTTGTACTCAGGGACACTCGGGGTCAGAACCGACTGGACGGTACATAACCACCGCCACCCCAAGACGTGGCGGGGCTCGTCTGGCCCTTCTAGTGAGCTCTGAGTTCAAGGCTGAGGCAGCTGGTCTGTGAACCGGACTTTGAGTAGCCGGGGTCTGAAAGATACAGTGAAAAGAGGCTGTCGGTCTTGTAGAAGGGAATCGAGGTGTCCTGGACACTTCAAGGGGCCCTGGTGGTGTCGTGGTTCCGTTGGGTGCTAACAGCCAGTTCTACCCTGCCCTATAGGGTCACGATGAGCCTGCATCGACTCGACTCGACGGCAACAAGTTTGGAGTTAGGTTTTGGACACCTCGGGCTGGAAGACCCTCTCCCCTTGCCCTACCTCACGTCATCTGTCCCTTGCTCTCTCCCAGGGAACACTCAGGGACAAGGAGGTCAAATGACAAAGTGACTTAGTTAGACAGGAGCATTGGGGGTGGGGGTGGGGGTCCCCAGTCTAGTTCGAGCCCCAAGCATTTCCTGAAGCAGGCCAGCAGAGGGGGCCACGCAGGTGAGCAGGCCCACGACCACTACTTCTGAATAAAGACGCCCATTCTCGTCTCCTCGCTAACTGGACATTCCGCCGCCCTCTTCTGGTCTCTTTCCCCTCCTCAGAAGTAGCTATTCCCACCCCATCCCCCTCCACTTCTCCCATCCTCCTCTCTTGTCCTGCTTATTGGGGACAAGAGGGACCCCCTCGGCCAAGCAGCTGCAGTGCACGGTCTACTCGGAGGCCAAGACGGCTATAACTGGACTTGTGTCTAACTTCAAGTGGATTGGCTGCTCCACAGCCTAGCCTTTGGGAAGTGGTTTTGGAGACAGGGTATCCAGGACCCAAGGTTGTTTCCTGGAGGGAGCTGAGAGAATTCCAATAGCTTGCCCTAGTGCTTGCTGGATCCCAGGGTGTTTCCTGCTAGGAAGGACATGAGAGCTCGGGGTAGACTTGGGATCCGGCAAGAAGCCAATGCTGATACCCACCAGTTTCCCGGCACCCAGTGCGCCCCACACCGTGCTCAGGGCTGTCATCCAGGGAAACCTCACGAGAAGCGGCAGCAAGGCGGACACCGCGGCCCTGAGAGGTCACACAGTGAAAGAGCAGGGAATGGGACTTTAATTCAAGATCAATCAATCATGTCTAGTCACAGCTGTCGGCTGCCAACGTCTTCCTCTCCAAAGAAAGAAAAACCCCCAAACACCCAAGACCCCCAGACCCGAGTTGAGTTAACCAGTAGGTGAACTCAAGTCTCCCGGTTCCGAGTGCTAGCTGACCCCGGCGCCCCCGCCACCCCCAGCCTCTTCCCTGTTTGCCAGTCTCTGGGAACTCCAGGTCACCGGGGAGTTTGTTAGCTCTGGATGTGGAAATCCTCACCGCTGAGCAGTCCTGCCAAACCTTTCCCTCAAAGCCTCCTCTTTCTTCAGGAAGCCCTGAGCCCACACTGTGGAAGCCCCAGGGAAGAGAGCAAAGGTCAACACTCACCGCCAAGAACTGCTCCTGGTGGCCCACCGTCATCCCTGGGCTTCATTTGACCCTGCAGCTGGGGTTGACCTCCACTCTGCCTGCCCCTCCCTGGGTCTTCCCAGCTCCGGCCTCCAACACTGTCACCTACTCCTATAGCCACAATAGCGGCTGTGGGGGTAAGGGTGACCTGGGGTTCATGCAATGGCCTTAGAGCAGGAAGAGTATTGAGACCATAAATCAAAAAGGATCTTAACCCAGTCTTGAGGGATCAGAGTGTTTCTCTTAAGCAAATCACTTGTGCTCCCCCGAAGGAAAGCTAAGGCTTTACAGCCAGTCACACACATTTCCCACTGGTCATTAAAGTCGTGTTTGCACTATACTACAGTCAATGAAGGAACCCTGGTGGCACACTGGGTTCCACGCTGGCCTGCTGATCACAAGGCTGGCGGTTCAAACCCAATAGCTACTATGTGGGCGAAGGATGGAGCCCTGTGCTCCCATCAAAATCGGTAGTCTCAGAAACCCTCGGGAGCAATTTTAATCTGTCCTGTCGAGTCACTGCGAGTTGGGATCGACTCGATGGCGGTGTGGGGGGTCGTCTATTTATCAAGTGTGCCACCGCATTATGGAAACGTTTAGCCTCTCACGAGGACTTCCAAAATGCGCGCAAAGACACGAAGTGAGCCTGCGCTGCTGGGAAAATGGCACCAGTAGACGTCTGCACGCAGGGTGCCCACACGCCTTCAAGTTGCCAAGAGTGCAGTGGCTTGCAAAGCACAATAAAGCGAGGCCCGCCTGTAGGAGCAAGCGGGCGATGTCATCATCGCTGTCATGCTGATTACCAACCATATAGTTAATCCCCTAAGCCAATATAAGGGCTCATTACAACGGATGTAGGCTTAAAGTCATGGCTTAATAGAAGTAATATAGATAAGGGATGATACCAATAGAGATTGAGCCCAAGTTAGGGCTTGGAGCCATAGGTTATGTACAAAGCAGATTTTACATTTTAAATATTTTAGTTACTATGAAGTGGGCCCCTATCATATGTATACCCGGCACTGGGCTTGGTTTGTTTTTTTTTTTCTTTCCACACACTGTTTCATTCCATCTTCACAATAACCCATCGAGGTGGTATTATCTCCATTTTGCAAGCCAAGGAAATTAAGGCTCAAAAAGATTAAGAGACTTGCATAAGATCCCCATCCAAGTCCAAGCGGTGGAGCCGGATGGGAACAGGTCTGGCTGACTCCAGTCCGTGCTGTAATCAGTCCATGGGGTGCCGGAAAGGTGAGGACGAAACTTCTTGGAAGCAGAGACGAGGAGGCTGGCAAGAGGCCCTGGGCCCGGACCCAGGCCTTCTAGTCTAAACCTAAACGCTAGGCTCTTGGCCAGAAGAAATGACGGGCAGAGGCCCCAGGAAGCCAGAGGACAGGGCACAGAGCAAGGGTTCTGTGAGAATGGCTTTGAAAGAGGGAGGGCCCACGACCACCGCCGCACCCAGGCCAAGGGGAGCTGGCACAAAAATCGCTCTGTCATTGGGCCTTCTGTGTAGCTGCACTGACGCCTTAATCTGAATGGATTGGACCCAGACAGTGGTTTTTGGTGGCCCTTGATGCATTCCGTGGGAAAACGAGGTTGTTAGTAAATACAAAGGCGGAGGCAGGAAGGGAGAGAGGTGACAGAAAATCAAGAGTGAAGCAGAGACAGCGAGAGACAGAGAGAGACAGCTGGCCCCAGGACTGAAAGATCAGAAGGGGGGATACCAGCCCAGAACGGCTGCAAATGCAGAGAAGGCCCTCAGTCAGTGGGCGTCTGGGCAGGGCACAGGGTCTCATGCTTGTTAGCACTGAGCAAAGTGCACATCGCCACCGCCCACCGGCCAATCTCATTAGGAGCCTCTGGTCTCTTTGGCTCTCAGCCAGAAGTGGAGTGGGGTTATCTCTGAGCCCTTTCTTAATGCTATTAGCTAAAGCTGCCAAGGTAGGAGAGCAAAGATGCGCCCCCCCGCAAAAAAAAGGGTAAAAAAAGGGGGGCAAAATCAACCACCCTTTCTTTGGAGCATTTGCGCTGAGCGACCGGAAGGGGAAGCCCTTTCTTCGCTGCCTCCCTTCCCTTCTCCCCTGTGGGGGAGGGCGCAGGACGTGATGCAGAGACCCCTCTGGCATCTTGCTCCTCTTTAGGCCGCAGATCACCACCCAGAGCTTCCCTGCCTTGGGCACAGAGGACCCCT